AGGGGTTGGGTCCCGAGACGGGCTGATTCCTTCGAGAAGCTTGATAAAGTAAGCTCCTTGTACTCTTTTTGTTATTGTACTGAAATTGCATGTGGCATTACTACAAGTTGAGCAATGAATTTGGCACTATGCTTTGATGTCTACAATGTTGTGGCATAATGTTTGATACTAAATTGTAAGGTTCCTTTACTAGGACATTTCCTTGTACTCTTATGAGTAGTATACTGAAGTGTGTTGCAGCTTGAATTGGCCCCATTGTAAGAAAACATAATTACAGATCTAGAAGATAGCAATGATATTGGCACTATGCTTTGCTATATTGATTTTGGCACTATGTTTTGCTATAATGATTTTGGCACCATGCTCTGAAATCTATAATGTGGATATTGTAGATAACTTGTTATTGCAGGCATAATGTTTGGAAGAAAATTTCAAGCATTTGTTTAGATGGAGGGTGCTGTTGAGTCATTTATTGAAAGGTTATTATCTGATGGTAGGATATATGAAATGCATTGTATTCTGATTTACTGATTTTATGACCATAGGATATACGAATTTTTCTGGTCGTTCCTCATAGTTAAGGTTGAAGACTTTGTTAGATCTTTAGTATAACTTTCTTGGGAGTTCAGGACATGAAAATGCTAGTATCTGTGCACGCCATGTATCTGTGCTCTATGGTTATGCTAGAAATGAGTTTAATCGTAAACTTGAAGGTTTGTAAGTGCATATGGATTCTTTCCATTGAATCAGATATTTCTTCGGAAGGAAATGTGGGATCTTGGTTTGCACTAGGGGTAAAACAATATAGTGTGCTACTCTTATCCTCTTTGTTCGATTTTTTTTTGAGTTAGGAAGCAGCACATGCACAATTTCTCTTTCTGCTACTGTATACAAGTATTTTTTGGAAACTCTAGCTGACCATCTCTATGAGTCGTTCAATTATATGATACAATTTCTCTTTCTGCTAATGTATACAGGTATTTTTGGAAACTCTAGCTGACCATCTCTATGAGTCGTTCAATTATATGATACAATTTCTCTTTCTGCTAATGTATACAGGTATTTTTGGAAACTCTAGCTGACCATCTCTATGAGTCGTTCAATTATATGATACAATTTCTCTTTCTGCTAATGTATACAGGTATTTTTGGAAACTCTAGCTGACCATCTCTATGAGTCGTTCAATTATATGATACAATCTTGCTTTTACAGATTGGCCAAGGAACCTACAGCAATGTTTACAGGGCCCGTGATTTGGACAATGGAAAGATTGTTGCATTGAAAAAAGTTCGATTTGATAACTTAGAGCCTGAAAGTGTACGGTTTATGGCAAGGGAGATCCACATTTTGCGCAGACTTGATCATCCAAATGTAATAAAGTTAGAAGGCTTGGTAACATCAAGAATGTCCTGCAGTTTGTACCTTGTATTTGAATACATGGAACATGATCTTGCTGGCCTCGCTTCTTTTCCTGGAATGAAGTTCACAGAGTCCCAGGTATGCGGCAAGTATAATTTTTCCCCCCTGGAATAATTCTTTTTCTATATAGAAATGTCAACTCTCTTCCTTGCTAACCTTCTCTCACTTTCTCTGGATTAATACTGAAGTGCCGCATGGCATTTTGAATAATAAATTCATAAACTTTTGTGTTACAGATTAAATGTTACATGCAACAACTACTTCGTGGCCTTGATCATTGTCATACACGGGGTATTCTACATCGGGATATCAAGGGGTCCAACCTTTTAATTGATAACAGCGGCATCTTAAAAATTGCAGATTTTGGCTTTGTAGTCAAAACCATCCATTAACAAGTCGCGTAGTTACTCTTTGGTATAGGCCCCCAGAGCTTTTACTTGGGGCCACAAATTATGGTGTTGCTGTGGATTTGTGGAGCACTGGATGCATCCTTGCCGAAATGTATGCAGGCAAGCCAATAATGCCTGGAAGGACAGAGGTAGAATCCTTTATCAAAATTCTCTGCCTAATTGAGTGGCTAGTAGGAGGAAACATCCATATGAAATTCTAAGGCTAAAATTGATAGAACAATATGCAGCTCAATTTTGCCATACACTGACTTGACGAACAATAGAAAGTTACTTAAGCTGAAAAGTTCGCTGGACTACATCAAGTTAGTTATAGCCTTGGTAATCAATATTGTGCATTTCTGGTGACTAGTGTAATCTGGGTTATGAAGTAATTGCCCCACAACGCAGTGACACGTTGCATATTAGGAGTTTGAGTCCCTCTGCAATTATGCATACATGATTTGCAGTGATTAAAAGGAATAGCGTTGCATATATCTTTTGTTACCTTCATCTTAAATTCTTCTCCCCTTCATTATTTTCTTCCAGTATTTTTTTTCTTTCATTTTTTTCTATGACATACTGATATGGGGCTGCTGCATGTGAATTGCATCCTCATATGGGTTATCTCATGAACCCAGTGAGTCCTCATACTTGTTCTTGGGTTTGATATTTGCTCCTATATGTGAATTGCATCCTCATATGGGTTATCTTATGTCTTTGCATCTTCTACGTTTCATCATAGGCTAGATATCATAGTCACTAAGCCTATTCTTCAATCCCAATTTGTTTTCCTTTTCCATAGAGTCCATAACTTTATCTCTTATAATGCAGAAGTCAGTCTTAGATGAATAATCTCGTCCTCTTTCAGTCATCTTTATTTTAGTGATACAGGTGTGTATCTTCTTTCTTGCTTCGGGAGCTTAACGATCCTCATGGGAGCTTGATGATAGATGATTCTCATGGTATCTTGAGAATAAAGACGTGGACGAAGTCGTTGAAGGCGGTAAAAACGAAGATTACAGGAAAAGACTGCAGGAGGTATTTTGAGCTTCCAGCAGTCGATCGCACATGACGCCGCGATCAACAGCGAGCGTGCACAGCCCAGAGAAAAGTCTCTGGACTTTTCGCGGTCGACCGCCAAAACCCTGTAGACGATTTTGGTTTCGGTCGTTGGATCCCGTCGATCGCGACGGTTTCCTGGGCCTTCCTGGTTCGTTTGGGACTCTGTTTTCCTGTTTGATTTTGGTTTTTTAATTACAAGTTTGCCATCCACGTTGTAAACTCTATAAATAGGATTGTTTTAGGGTTCTAAACAAGGAGAAATCAGAGAAAGAGATAAGATGTGATATTCTAATCAAGAGATTAGAGTTTAGAGAGAATTTGAGAGATTGTTCCTGATTCTAGAGAGATTTAGAGAGATTGTGAGAGAGAGAGGGATTTGTAATATATTATTCTCATAATCTAGAGAATGTATTTTTCTTCGCCTAAAACTGAATTGTTCTTGTATTTTTTATTCTATCGTCTTCTTCACAACTCACTCTTGATAATTTCGCGATCAAGTGTGCTCGTCCAGCGACTCGTATCATTTAGGCCTATAGGAATCTTGTCACTTCCTAGGGTTTGGTTAACTACATAGCAGTTCCATTTTCATGATGCAAGATGTAACTTATTAAGAAGAGTTAAAGTACATTGCTAAAAACATAGTTACATGGCACCTGGTTCGTTCCGGTTCATGGGACGGGTACGGGAGTGTGATACGCCACTCATTAGGAATCGGGTATGAGGGGGGTAGGCTTATATGATACGCCCAGAAATGTGGGACGCTTTAGGTTTGGTTTTTAAATGTTGGAATCATAGGTTTTGCAAGAGTCAAATTTTAAAAATATGCTAGTTGACACTAGTAATTGTAAAAGTAATGGTAAAAGAACCTTGAGAATCATGTTGCAATTAAGGCATGCATACCTTATTTGCTTAATTTCTCACGTTTTCTATAGTTTATTCATTTAAAAAATAGTTATTTTTTCGAAAATTTAACTAGTTTGAATTCTAAATTGGGTCACTGGCGTTGGTGAATCTGGTGGTGTTCCACGTGAATTTGGGATGATTGAACCTAGGTTGCTGTTCGCTATAGTGTTCAATGTTTTAAGTGTCGGCCGACGTGTCCAACATGTCGTTCGAGATGTCGGTTTGAGGGCTTGAGCGACACGACATGGGTGTTTTTAAGTCGTATGTCGGTTTTCAGGGCCATATCGGGCATATCAGCCAATTTTCCAGCCTCGGTTTGGGTTTAGTGATAAAAACCCAAACTCGTTTGACCCATTCTTATGTTTAAGGGTTTCTTAGTTATGAACTCTATAGAAAGATAAGAGAAAAATTAGGGTTACAACGGACTTGGAAACCGATCACTCCTTTTGTGAATGCCGACGCCCTCCCCCCACCTCCATCTCGGACCCCATCGTCCATCTCTCATTGTGCCCTAAAATCCGAACCCCAACCGAACCCGAGGGCGACAGGGTACCCCGTCGTCGAGATAAAGGGAAAAGGATGATCGGTGACTCATCCGAAGACCCTGAGCAGACGAAGAAGAAGAAGAGCCCCAACACTGCCTCCCTGCGACGACGGAATCCACCCATCGCCGGCGAGGCCTCTAGAATTTATAAAGTATACTTATATTGAATTTAGGAATGCTTAGATTATATTTAGGAAATTATATTATACATATGCGCACCACCCGATATGACAATCCGATATTTAGTCCATGTCTCCCGATATATCCCCGATTTCCGCTATCTGACATGGATTTCAGTCGTCCGACATGAACCCGACATACGATATTTAAAACCTTGATAGTGTCCCAAGTTCCTGAATTTTATGTGCATTATGCATCAGTCACATATTTTGTTGGTACTTGTAGGATTTATCCGAAATATTTTTGTGATTCGAAAGGAAGAAGACGAGTGAGTTGTAGCATGAGCATGCCATATTGCTGTACATAGTTATTCATGTTAGACAACGTTCAATTTCATCAATCACTCTGGTACTGAAAGTTATTTCAATATAAACCTGTTCATCTTTTTGTGGATAGGTTATAATCCCGTGTTATGTGGTTTAAACGTCATACTCTTGTCTATTATTAGGTTCAAATTTCTCCTTTTCTTATCACCAAATTTGGCTTTAGGTTTAGCTTCGGTTCAAATCCAGTTGAATCCGAGTCTGACCCACTTCTCATTCATGTAGGAATAGACTTCTCATTCATGTAGGAATAGTAAGAATCAGATAATGAAACCTTTTGTTCTGAATGTGCTGAAACCATACTTTTGACAAATAAATTTTGCTTTTCTGCCAGAGGGCAAGGCCACTTAGGCCAGCAAGTAGTTTTTCTAGCCTCTACAACAGTGTACTTTTACTTAGTTTGAGGGAGAAAGGAACACTTCAATTGGGTGCACAAACAATCTGAATAATTAGTGTACGACAAGATGTCAAGATCCATGTCCACTTCTTATTCATATAGGAATAGTAAGAATTAAATATTGAAACCTTTTGTTCTGAATGTGCTGAAACCATACTTTTAACAAATAAATTTAGCTTATTTGCCAAAGGTTAAGGCCTGCAAGTAGTTTTTCTGGCATATACAACAGTACACTTTTAGTTAGGTTGAGGAAGGACTTCAATTGGGTGCACTAACAATCTGAATAATTAATGTACAATGAGATCCCTGTAAACTTAAGGCAGTGAAAGTTCTAAGTTAGTGAGCTTATGCATCTTCTTAAAAGTTCACTTGCTTCATTTAGTTTAAAATTTTCAGAAGTCCCTGAACAATGCGAGTCATTATCATCAAACACGTTATAGTTTGTCCCGTTCATAATCAAAGCTTCATATTTGGAAATTTGTTTTGGCTTATGTAATTTTTCTGCTTATTGCTGTGCTGGTTCTTTCATCTATTAGCCTTGTTCAAGAACATATATAGTAATTCACGCCATTAAACGTACAATGAATGAGCCATGATGTTAATATGCTGGTTTATTTTTCATCATGAGTCCATGTTAAACCAAGTATTTGTTGTTTCCTACACTTTGTGCAGTCACCTGTACTAGCTTTTACCTTGAGGTCAAGTCGAGGTTTAGGCATACATAATTATAAAGGGAAAATTTCATCTACATATTAAGGCTACAGCTTCCTTTTCTTTTCTTTTGTTGTGATGGAAATGCACTGTTTACACGATAAGTATTTTCTACAATTAATTGAATAATCCTAAGCTTATACCTTCTGTTTACATATGTAGGTTGAGCAGTTGCACAAAATTTTCAAGCTCTGTGGTTCACCATCTGAAGATTATTGGAGGAAATCCAAACTGCCTCATGCCACCATTTTTAAACCACAACAACCTTATAGACGATGTGTAACAGAAACGTTCAAGGACTTTCCTCTGTCAGCTTTGGCACTTATGGACATCCTTCTTTCAATAGACCCAGCAGATCGTGGAACTGCTGCTTCTGCCCTTAAAAATGAGGTACAGTCTATATGTTATGTTCTCCTTGGCATTATAACTGTTTTGCAGCTTGATCATTAACTGATTGGTACTATCTCATCCATAAGCTATTTTGAATGATAATCTGTTTTAATAATATAAATTTTGTCATTATTCTTCACCAATCACCACAAATACTTTTGAAGGTTTTAGTGCTTACTGCGGTAGTACATAAACATTTTTCTGGGTCATTATCAAGTCATTGCTAATGTCTTTGTTGATATTTTTTATTAATTATTTTTTCAGTTTACCGTGCACATTCAGATTCTGCCATTACTTTACTGATGCCCTTTCCATTCATCTTTTCCTCTTATGTTATGATGGCTATGCCTTATGCTGCCTATATTGGCATGGTTGATTCCTCTTTTCCCAGGCTAATAAAGTTCTCTTTGTTAAGAAAAGAACGGCAAGGATGAGCTCGGAGCAAGACACATGTGTCTTCTCTTTTTTTAGAAAAGATTGTAGCTCGTGAAGGCGTGGAGGGTGGGGCAGGTATGAGCTGGAGCAATACACGTGTCTTCTTGATGGGAAATATAGGAGAGTGCTTGGAATAACTATCTTCCTATTATTTTGAATGATTTTTTGTTTAGGATTTTCTTTAGGAACAACTAACAATCTCCTCAGGAAGACACATATGTTGATTCAGGAATTGAAGACTATACTATTGCATATCCCATTCTTACCACCCCACTATGGAATAATAGGTCTGGTGGACCTCTCCAAATGTAACTGTATAGTCTCGCTGTTTTATAGAGAATCTCGACAACATTGATTTGTAGTATTTCCAAAATAGTCTTCTTCAAAACTATGGAATCAGAACAAAGGTTGTTGAATAGAGAAATTGTATACAATTATTTTTTCCGGGAGTAGAAGTGTGTTGGCCTTTAGTTTATCAACATATTGTATGCCAATTTATCTTCTGTTTTTGTGTATTTATTCTGGAAGAATCTCCAAAGCTCAGACATTACCATCGAAGATGAACATTACAGTTTATGTGGAGTCCCTTCTGGTCTTAGGCCACATAATTATGGGTATATATGATTCTTTGGCCTTAAATTTCTAGTGTGCATCATGGCTTATATGTTCTCTCTTCGAACTTGGTTCTTGGTTATGATATGTGCCCCTATATTTAACAATATTGTTTTCGAAAGGTCTGATCTTTTAGCTTCATATGATGTTATTTACTTTTTCAGCCTATTGATTATTTTCCATCTATATTGCATGGGTACCGGTATGGCTATGGGTACGGGTATGGGTATGGGACACAGCAAATTTGTAGAAGGTGGGATATGAGGACACGGGTATATAAATATTTATATATAAGTATTTATATACACATGTATTATGTATTGGATTCAATAGTGTATATGAGAAGAACAGTGAGAATTAAAATTCAAATAACATTTTTTGTTTCTTTTATTAGGCGGATATAAATTAGAATCACTAGTTTTTGAAATATACATCCAAATGACCCGTCAAAAATCATAATTACAAACCTGGCATATGTCCAACGGGTTTAAAATTAAACCATGTGTTGTATAATTGAGTGCATGCTTGAATAAATGTATAAATATATGCTAGGAGTGTCCAAGGAGTTTGGGTACGGGTAGTATGGGTACCTGTCGGTTATGTTTTCGGCTTCAAATTAGAAGTACCCAAGTAACATAGTTTTCCATCTAGCTATGTACAACACTTTCAGTTTTCTTTTCCTAATAAATAGTAAAAACTGACTGATGTTGGATGTTTACAGTTTTTCACAACCAAGCCAGTAGCCTGTGATCCTTCAAGCTTGCCAAAATATCCTCCAAGCAAAGAATTTGATGCAAAAGTTCGAGATGAGGAAGCTAGAAGGTCTGTTTAAATAATTGTCTGCTTTCTTTTTGCTAGAATGCATATCTGTATGTCTTTTGAGATGACTCGTTGTTCCCTTATACTTCATATCATTTTCATATATTCTATCAATAACTCTGTTAAAGCATAATACTTGAAGGGCTATTTATCTGCAATGATATCTTCCTACATGAGGTTTCATGTAGGTCTAACTGCTTCATGTTTTCTGTATACAGAACTTGTTTGTTTTAGTTAACTTTGAAGTTCACTTTGCCTTACAAGCTACAAATTATTGTTTGGATATGCAAGACTTATCTTCCTCTGTTTGGAAGTATTGCGCTCCTTTCAATCTTCAGTGACGTTTGGGGATGGGAACCTTGTTATGATTTCTCTATTTTTGTTCCTAGACATTATTTATATAGCCTTGGAGTTTGTTATGCTAACAACTTTTATCATGTTCAATTTGTTCATATGTCCTGCAAAAGCTTATGACAAGACTTGCAAGTTATTTTGAGTAAATGTACTTCCGTTTTTTGTATAATGTTAACATTAGACACTTTATTCTCCAAAATGTTTATATACTGTTATTTTCTCTGGAGAGATACATGTATGTATGCATGCATACATATATTTGTGGGGGCATAGAGCTTTATGCATGTTGGGGCAACGTCTTAGAGCATACTACTTTGCAAGCCTATGTTATCAAGGTATAAATATTAACAGTTTATTTAAAAAAACAACAGACAAGGTGCTGTAGGTGGCAAGATGCAAAGACTTGACCTCGAGAAAAGAGCACATAGAGAATCTCAGGCAATCCCTGCACCAGATGCCAATGCTGAACTAGCCATATCAATGAAGGTAATGCTTCTTCCTTTAACTTACAAAACACCTGAACTGGTTAGCTCACATGTGCAGTTTCTGTGCTGACATCTGTATCATTCTTCTCCCTTCTTTTTCTGAGTGTTTTAATAGTTCTGAATGCTTGGAATTTTCTGTTTGAGGGTATCTTAACTATTATCAGGCCAATTCCGTAAAGGATTTTGCAATTTAAATTTGATGTTTTGTCTCATTGACTTGAGTAGCACAATGCACGTGTGAGAAAAGGTTATAAAGGAAACTCACTGGACGGGATCTCCCAAATTGAAACTGAAAAATGATCTGAGCCTACTAAAATCTAGTGCAATTTTCATTTCGCAGAAAAAAAACCCAGTAGTTGCCACGTGTAAAAAAGAAAAAGAAGAAAAAAACAAAGTAGTGGGCAGAATTGATAGAAAATGCTGGCTGTCATATTCCATGTTTGATAGACGCGTGTGTTAGCGTTGGACATGTATAAGACATGATTATGACTTTTGATAGACGTGTACCATTTCATGAATGCAAGAATAGGTTATGTTCATGTAGTTTACATGTATTGCTGTATTATGTTCTAATGATTATGATGGTGACCATTTCATGAATGCAAGAATAGGTTATGTTCATGTACATCATGCAAAATTGTTATCAGTTAGGATGTCTTAAAGAACTTCCATATTGAAGAAACCATATTCTATAATTTCCACTTTTGTGCTTTGTGTCACTTCAAATTGTGATCTACACCTGAAAGAGTATGTAATATCTTGCTAAATTTGCTTTATGGACTGGGTGCACTAAGGTTACTATCTGATTATTCATTAATGAGATGGTGCAAATTTGAGGTCCATCGGGCCATAATTAATAATGTCCACATTTATGCAGATTACTACATGGTTGTGGAAGACTGCTTTGTGTTTTCTTTTGTATTTCACTGTGAATTTTCTTATTGTGGTTGAAGTGTGCTCAATTACCGGTGGATTCAGCATCAATATCCTTACAGTTAAACTAAATACACTTGGATTGTATTGCTACTGTTAAGGTCATCAGAATCTAGAGGACAGTATTATGTTTTAGATTTCATTCTTTTATGTGATAAATAGTTCATTTTTTCGCTATGGGCATCATGATGCAATCTCATACTATCAAACTGTCATTTCTTTATGTTATTCTAGAAATGGCAAAGTCAAGGCTGTTCCAAGAGCAGAAGCGAGAAGTTTAATCCCCACCAGGAAGAAGTTGCTTCTGGCTTTCGGATTGAGCCTCCAAGACAAGCACAGCACTCAGAACGAACTGAAGATCCTCAGGGTCATTATTCTCATTCTCATAGATCTTCCCATTCAGGCCCCCTGGTGAATAGGAGCCAGTGGACTAAATCTAGAAAACCTGACGGTGGCATGCCCAAAATTTCAGCCACAGCAAATTTATCGGCCTTGTCTGGCTTAGTGGCAGCAAGGAGAAATCCTTCATCTGACAATGCATGTGAACGAAGTGCTGGTCAATTAGAAGCAGTTGCTCCATCTGGTAGATTTTCTGAATCTTGTAATGGTCTTTCAGATAGAGCCAGAAAATATGATCAGCTATATCATATGCATGTACCTGCGGGTTCTCAACGGAGAGAAGATGATAAGAACAGCAATATGGACCAGCATATGGTAAGTGGATGTATTTTTTACTAACTTCTATTATTCATATGGTAATTTTTCTGAAAATGTGTTTGCTTGCATTATTTGTTCATTTGCACTAGTGATGGAAATTAGTATATTCCATTACGGTGCACTGTAAATCAAATTATCTGAATTAATCACTATAAACGGGCTTACAAAGCCCAAGTCTTGGCTTAGAATCAGCTTGATAAAAGCTTGTTCAATACCTAAACTAAGCAAAGCTTGAACAAAATTTTGTGCTTGTTTAAATAATTGGACGAACTTGAGCAGAATATGACTGGACTCGGCTTAGGATCAAGGTCCATAAGGATATGCTCAATAAAAGCTCCATAATTCTAGATATCTCATAAATGTTCTTCTATTTATTTATTTACATTATATGTTGTTGTTTCAATTGGAATTATCCATTATTTTCATAATCACGATGGATGCTTGCTTGCAAAGGAATTAGAAATAAAATTCTTGGTCATGGTTGGAACCTTTGGGGTACTCTCTTCTTCAGACTCTAGGCTCATGAAGCTTGACATTTCCCAGGCTTGCGGTCATTTTCATGAAGCTTGACGTCCCCCTGGCTTGGGGTCATTTAGTGCTTGCACAAGTTTTTTGAAACTTTTTTAGTTATTACATGAACAGAGCATGATTTTTAAGATATCTTTTAGATAATTGAATGAACATAAACATCCTAAAGGTCAGCTCTTTCAGGAAGTTCAGCAACCTGTATGACAATACTAAAATCTACGTGGGTAGACGGTTGAGTAAAGTTTTACTCATAGTGAATTTTATCTTTAAATTTTAAACCTGCTCAGCCTAATGTGAGTACTTGCTTGCATATGCAGTCATAGATAAAGACAGATGCAAGTAGACAATGTTACATTAAATGCTGGGCGCTTCTAGGCATAGGACTTGGCGCCCAGCGCTTAGTCGTCTAGGCGGGTGCCTAAACTGTTTCTGGGCGTTTTTTTCTTTCTTCATTTAAGTGGTGGTCGATAAGGTTTTGCTGAAGGTCGGAGGAGGTAGTGGAGGTGTTCATATTTGGAGGTTAATGGAGTTTGGAGGACGTGTAGGCTACGACACCTAAAATCACAATCAAGGCCTACAGGGTGCAATCCACGTAAGCAGACAATGCTCCCCTAAACGCTCGTAAAATCTAGGTGGGCAACCTAAATACCGCCTAGGCACTAGGCGCTAGTTAGGCAGCTTAGGTACCGTTTAGGCCTAGACGTACGCCTAAGCGGACTAGGCGGACGTTTTTTAAAACAGTGCAAGTAGAGACGTACATTTACCAACCGCAAATTAAAGGTTTACTGTTATTTAAACTTTAAGTATCTATTCACAGTATTATATAGGGTTAAGCAAAGACATAAATCTACCAACTGGAAGCACGGTTTGCTTATAATGCATCAATATTTACACTTCAGCTTTACATGAAAGTTTTGCATGTGGCTATAACAAAAGTTATTGATGACCCGTAACAATTATAACCTTAATAAATAAGATGTGCATAGCAGTTTCAGCCACGTATTTGCCCATGCAATATATTTGGTGCAGCGTCTAGACCCATTATTGCAATTTCATCTCGCACATATAATCCTTGCAATGTGTCAATTTTCATAGTACACTAACAAACAACAATATATCAATGCCTTTATCCTAAATTTTTGGGTTAGCTGCATGAATCTTATTCTTCCATTCATTCATACATTGAACCCCAACCTAAATTTGTTTCATGTGCTTTACCATCTACGCAGGGCCATGGGATGTCAGCAAACAAAATTCACTATTCTGGACCTCTTTTGAGGCCATCTGGCAACGTAGATCAAATGCTAAAGGATCACGACCGTCAGATCCAAGAAGTTTTCCGTCGCTCTCGGATGGACAAATCCAAAGCTCGGAAAATCCAGGGTGAATCCAACCATACTGGCATCAAGCCTTTTGATTTGGGTGTCGTTCCTGTTTACCCCTCGAGCAGAGGCTCAGCTCCAATCTTCACATCTAGTCGGGGTTCTGCACAGTAGAATAGTTCTGTGCTTTGAAGTGGGTTCTTTGTGAATTTATTATGATTCAATCAAGTGTATGATTTATGGGTTCCACGGATGGATGAGGGATGTATTATGTATAGAGGTGGTTTAGTATGAATCTTTAGAGAGGAGAAATGATTCATAATTAATTGAGCCCGCTTTATCTTCATTGTTGGTCTTTGAACTTTCAGCCGGCCAGAGAGTTGTTTGTGCTTGTATCCTAAGCTTGCCATCTGTTTCCTTGGTCATGTTAGAGGCTGGAAGAAGCCCTACAATTTTTTGGATACATGTGCTCTGCCTTAGCACAACCACAAACAGGTATAGCGTCTTTTTAATGTGTTAGATAAAGTTCCCCATTTTGCATCCATACGTTACTTTGTCCTGCACCGGAACGCTACAGCAGAAGGAAAAAAAAATGGTAGATAAAAAATGCTTTTTTTTTCCCGTGCTTTTTCCTATTTTGTGAATGTTGGACTGTAAAAGTGACACCCTCAACCCTCAATACAACTTTACTGTTTTTGTGTGGTCATCAGGACTATAAAATAGTATTAGAGCAACCTAGGTTTATATATTATTCACTATGACATGTTGTACAAGGAAACGAAAAGATGATAGTGTGTGTTGGCTCATGAAACCTGTGGGGGGTATATTAGGCCATAAAATGGTAATAATCTCTATTTTCATCACAACTTTGAAATTCAGGTGTAGTTTTACTGACCTTTGACTTTCTGTGAATACAAAGGTTATCGGGACTAAGCGTTGAAGTTACATGGAAAAGGAGAAGTCACTGTCTTGATTCCAACCATAAAACTGTACACAATGACCGTGATGATTAAAAAATAATTAAGGCAACGGACTGCGAGCCAAATATCCAAGGCTGCTAGTTTTCTTTTCTGATCTTTTAGCTCTCTCAGTCAAACTCACCTCTTCTCTCCGTAACCACAACAATGTTAAGTTAGAGCTTACTCCTCTTGAAGAAATTATCAATATCACGGTCCCGATTATTGTATTAATGATATAGTAGAGAGATATTTGTTCTTGAATTAATGCATAAATTATTAAATCCGCTAAGAGACGGAAAAAATGTAGGCATTGATCGTTGATACCACAATTAAATAACATCATATTATGTGCTAAGTATAGAAATTACAAATTGTCGGTAAGTCTTATAGAAAATCCATTATATTGTACTAATATAGAGAAACCAACCTTAATCTTAAAATTATATCTAATTTATTATAAGAACTCTGTGGAAAAATCAGAAAAACCAGAAAAACTGGCATAAGTCGACTCATGCACAAGGCTAAGTCGACTTATGGTAAGTCGACTTGGCCTTGTGCATGAGTCGACTTACGATCTGCAGCGGAGTTGTGGTTTTTGCCTCTGCCAAGTCGACTTATAATGTCTGATAAGTCGACTTACGAAGTCCTCTCCTGTTGCTGTTTTTATGGGAAAAGATGAATCGAAATGCTTGCGGGGTGATCAGGTCCTGTTTGGAACAGGAGCTGAAATACGATGTGATTGGGGTGACGTCTGCGATGAAGATGTGGGAAATTCTCAACAATAAGTACCTTACGAAGAGTGTTGAGAACCGGTTGCACTTGCTGCGAAGGTTATTCAGATTCCAGATGTCCAGAGGTACCTCGCTTGCGGCTCATGTGAACAACTACACTAAGTTGTTGTCGGACTTGGCGAACGTGGATGAGAAGATCACAGATGAGTACAAGGCTATTATTCTTTTGGGCTCCTTACCGGATGAGGAGTATGATACCTTCGTGCTTACGTTGCTGAACGGGAGATCTTCTATCACTTATAGTGAAGTGACTAACGCATTGACGAACTATGATTTGAGGAGGAAGGATAAGGAGACTTCCCGCGCTAGTACTTCAGGAGAGGCCTTGTCGGCGAGAGGTAGAAGCTCATATCAGAAAGGTGGAAACAGAGGGAGGTCAAAGTCAAGAGGTCGTCACCAGCTTGGAAAGAATCAATGTGCATTCTGCAAGGAGCAGGGACATTGGAAAAGAGATTGCCCGAAAGTCAAAGAAAAGGAGAATAGCAAGAATAAGGGCCCGAAGGCCAATGAGGTGAATGTTGCGAAAGGCGATGATTCCGATGATTCGAGCTTTTCTCTTTTGATTACTCCGGAGGTGAACCATTTGGATGCATCGGAGTGGATGCTTGATTCTGGCGCTACTTATCATGTGACTCCTAGGCGAGATTGGTTCTCATCATTTGAGAGACTCGATGGGGGTGTTGTGGTCATGGGAAATGATCAATCCTGTGGCGTTCGTGGGATAGGTACTGTGAGGATTCGGATGCACGATGGAGTAGTCCGTGAGCTGAAGGAGGTGAGATTCGTTCCTCAACTTAAGAAGAATCTTATCTCAGTGGGGGCTTTGGAGGCGAAGGGATTCAGGGTGACCTTTGAGGATGCTGTAGCAAAGGTTACTAAGGGATCTTTGGTGGTGATGAAGGGAGTCCGAAATCATAATTTATATTATCTGAAGGGGAGCACCGAGATTGGCCAGGTTGCTTCGGCGATTTCAGAGGCGGACATGAGCAGACTTTGGCACTACAGGCTAGGGCATACAGGTGAAAAGTCACTGCAGGCATTGTGCAAGCAGGGGCTTTTGAAGGGAGCCAAGAGTGGTAAAGTAGAATTCTGTGAGCACTGTGTACTTGGCAAGAAGACGAAGGTGAAGTTCGGGACGGCCATTCATAGGACGAGGGGCATCTTGGACTACGTGCACACAGATGTTTGGGGTCCCACTAAGACGGCATCACTTGGTGGTCGACATTGGTTCGTCACGTTCGTTGATGACTATTCTAGGCGATGTTGGGTGTACACCATGAAGCATAAGAGTGAAGTCCTAGATTTGTTTGTGGAGTGGAAGAAGAGATTGGAACTGCAGACTGGGAGAAAGATCAAGACGTTGCGATCCGACAACGGCGGCGAGTATACCTCAGACCCCTTTCTGCAGCTATGTCGAGACGAGGGCATAGAGAGGCACTTCACAGTTAGTCATACACCGCAGCAGAATGGGGTGGCGGAGAGATTGAATCGGTCTTTGCTGGAGAAGATTCGATGTTTATTGGCGCATAGTGGTTTGGAGAAGATCTTTTGGGCTGAGGCACTTTCTTATGCGAGCCACCTCATTAACAGGCTGCCTTCATCTGCGATTGAGGGGAAGACCCCTATGGAGATGTGGTCGGGAGAGACAGCACATGACTATGACCAGCTTAAGGTATTTGGTTGCCCTGCATATTATCATGTTAGAACTGATAAGTTGGAACCTCGAGCTAGGAAGGCCATATTTGTAGGATTCAAGCGTGGTGTCAAGGGATACAAGCTTTGGGATCCAGTTGATAAGAAGATTGTGCTGAGTAGGGACGTCACATTCGATGAGGCTTCTATCTTGAAGCTTCCCAGCTCTCATCAGGTGGAGAGCAACCCGACAGAGGAGATTTCGCAGGTGGTGGAGATTGATGCAGCTCCACAGAGTCCAGATAGTGCAGTATCCATGAGAGTGCCGACTGAGGTGACGCCAGGCGAGCACGACGGTGATGCGGAGGATACGGGTACTCATGAGCAGGATCAGGGACCGACGGCTCAGGTTCAGGATTCTATTGCGGCACGGAGACAGAGGAGAGACATACGGGTGCCAGCACGGTATGCCGACACAGTTGCATATGCACTTCCGGTGGAGAGTATCGATGAGATGGTGCCTACTACATTCAGAGAGGCCGAGCAGAGTTCGGAGGCTGATTCGTGGCAGGTGGCTATGCAGGAGGAGATGGAGTCTCTTCACAAGAACGATACATGGAAGCTTGTAGAGCTTCCAAAGGGGCGGAAGGCGATTGGGTGCAAGTGGGTGTACACGAAGAAGGAGGGCATTGAGGGCACTCCAGTGAGGTTCAAGGCTAGGTTGGTTGCGAAGGGCTATGCACAGGAGGAAGGTATTGATTACAATGAGGTTTTCTCTCCGGTGGTGAAGCATTCGTCGATTCGGATTTTGCTAGCTTTGGTGGCACAGTATGGATTGGAGTTAGATCAGTTGGATGTGAAGACAGCATTTCTTCATGGTGATCTTGATGAAGAAATATATATGACTCAGCCATTGGGATTCCGAGCTGCAGGGAAAGATAAGTTGGTTTGCAGGCTAAAGAAATCGCTATACGGTTTGAAGCAGTCTCCTCGACAGTGGTATAGGCGATTTGATGGTTTTATGCTTGGTCATTCGTACACTCGGAGCCAGTTTGATCCTTGCGTGTATTTTCGCAAGTTGAGAGGAGGTGCGTACATTTATTTATTGCTTTATGTCGATGACATGTTGGTTGCTTCAAGTTCCAGGTCAGCTATAGATGAGTTGAAGATTCAGCTTTCGAATGAGTTTGAGATGAAGGACTTGGGCGAGGCGAAGCGCATTTTAGGGATGGAGATCGGCAGAGACAAGAAGAAGGGCAGAATTTGTTTGACACAGGTGGCTTATTTGAAGAAGGTTCTACAGCGATTCCATGTTAGCATGGATACGAAGCCAGTTAGTGTACCGTTGGGAGCCCATTTGAAGCTTTCAGCTGACCTTTCACCGAAGTCAGTTGAAGACCGTGAGTTGATGTCGAAGACTCCATATGCGAGCGCAGTTGGGAGCTTGATGTACGCGATGGTATGTACGAGGCCGGATTTGTCACAGGCAGTGAGCATGGTGTCGAGATACATGCACGATCCAGGAGTGGGTCATTGGGATGCCGTGAGATGGATTTTGAGGTACATTCTAGGTACGCTCAATGTTGGTTTGGTTTATGAGCGGGACACTACAGGTGGGCAGTTATGCATTGGCTATGTTGATTCGGATTATGCCGGGGATTTGGATAAGCGCCGATCTACAACGGGGTATGTGTTCACCTTGACCCGTGCGCCGGTGTGTTGGAGATGCACCTTACAGTCGACGGTGGCTTTGTCTACGACGGAGGCAGAGTATATGGCAGTTACGGAGGCTGTGAAGGAGGCTATTTGGCTTCGAGGACTTCTGGAAGAACTTGGTATATCGCAGCGATCCGTCACTATTCATTGTGATAGCATGAGTGCTATATATTTGGCGAAGAATCAGGTTTTTCATGCGAGGACGAAGCACATTGACGTTCGTTATCACTTCGTTCGAGATGTTCTTGAAGATGGCGATGTGGAGA